TTCTTATGCCAGGGGTTGCAGGCCCTGGCTGCTTACCTGGTGTTGCACTGATTTTGCCTTTAGGCCTACAGGGTGCTTCAGTAAGAGGGAGGAATAAGGGTGGCTGACACTACTGGAGGCTGTAGGGGTCTGGCCATGTACCGGGTGCTGAGCCAGCGTGCTAGGGCTAGTGTCTAGTATGTGCTGAGATGGTGGGGTGTTTCTGCATTTCCCTGGGCCTATATTGAAGCTTGGTCACTACAGACTGTCTGTTTACTTGGGGCTATGCTGAAGCACGTGGTAGTTCTGGGAACTGGAGTCTGCCTGTTCTCCTGGCTATGTTGAGGCATGTGTGTGTGTGTGTGTGTGTGTGTGTGTGTGTGTGTGTGTGTGTGTGTGTGTTTATATGGGGGGGGCAGTCCTGGTGTTGACATTTTCCTGTTCCACTGCACTAAGGCTCAGAATCTCCCATTGGTTTTCTGGGTGGGGATTTACTGCGGGCTTGCTGGGATTCTTCCTGTCCTGAATTGCATTTCCCTTTCATTCAAGTGGGACAGAACCTTCTTGCAAATTTTCCAAGTTTCTTGGGCTAAAGGATCATTTTACCCTGTCTTTTTCCTAGTTATGCTGTTCCAAGATTTGTTTCAGGGTGTTATTTTATGATTGTTTGGAGGCTAATATGGGAGAGTTACACTGATTTACTGTTTACTCCACCATTCTGGCTCCTGAAAATTCTCCCCCATTCACTCATTGTAATGATTGCTTAAGAGGTATGGTAATATGGTCAGTGATCAGCCTTGGAGTCAGGAAGAGCTGGGTTCAAATTCTGCCTAAGATACATAATAGAATGAATATTAACAAATTAAATGATATGTGCATAAACAGCTTGGTAACCCTTAATATGCTATATATATAAATTATAATTGTTATTGAACCCCTTATTGCCCACAAGCAACTTTCAAAAGAACATATGACAGATTTACAAGGAGTTGTCTGCATAGGTCTAGATTAAAATACAGTTGATCTCTTAGTAACTCCTCATATTCCATTAACATCTAAATTTTGAGTCAAATTCTTCCAAGATGAGTGGCATAAAAAGTTCTTAGTTTTTGAAAAATTTTTGGCTTGAAAATGGAATGCCAAGAGATACAAAAGAGAACCTCCCTTTGCTCACTTGCAAATATGGAGGACTATGGCTTCTATCCATTGCATATGTTAAGCTTTTTCAATAGGTTGGTAAGTTTTGCTGAACTATTCCCCCCCCCCCTTATTCTTCATTATCAGGTATGGCTTTTGAAGAGAATAAAGGGAAAGGATACATTGGGAAATGCAAGTGATGAAAAAAACAGAAGATATCAAAAAAACCTATTTTAAAAAAAAAGAAAATAGAATGTTCATTTGACTTTCCAAAAATAATTTCTCATAATTTAAAGATAAATTATGGGATAGCAATAATGGATTTAGATTGTTGTATTGATATTTTCTCATGTTTTCTTGCCTGTTTTCATTCACAACAAAGTTGAGACATTAAAATGTTCAATGTTTTATTTTTTTGCAGGTTCAGTGCTTTGAATTTTTGGCCCAAAATTAGATCTCAGTTCCTAGAACCCCATTCTTATCCAAGTACCTGCCTGGAAGACATTCCTTTCTCACCTCTGTTTCTCAAAATTCTTAATTTCCTTCAAAGCACCCCTTTCTGCTAGTGAACTTTTCTGATCCTGACCACCAGTTGTTAGTGTGAGAAAATCTATTTTGTATATTGTGTATTGTATGTATAATAAGGGAAGACATAATGTCTTGTGATCTGAATACTTAAGCATAGTTTGGATATGCTTCTACATCATCTTTACCTTTAGAATGTAAGTTCTTTGAGGACAGAAATTATTTTAAATTTATCCCCAGTGCTTAGTACAATGCTACGTGCAAAGTGGATGCTTGATAAATGCTTGTTGAATTGAACTGATAGATTAAATGGAAAAGGGATAGATAACAGCATAAGAGATCCTAGGATAGGTTACCCTCACATACAGAAGCTATAGAACTATATTTTCCCATGAAGACCCAGAGGATTCATTCAAAAGGGATGAATCTTTTTCATGTAACAGACAGACCACCTAGCTGAGAAAGTTGGGTGCCAAGGCAAAAGCCAACTTTCATTGAAAAACTGCAACAATCTTCCTTTTAGTCTAGCATTTGCACTTCAGGTTGTCATTTCAAGAAGGGATAATGCCATTCAATAACAGAATTTCCTTGGAATAGAGTGGGGACTTGAAGTCAAGAAGACCCAAGTTCAAATCCCATTTCTGACACTGGATAGGTATGTGGCCATGGATAAATCACTTAATCTCTGGTACCTTCAGGTTTTTTATCCTAGGGGTTGGGGATGATAATAACTACATTACTTCAATTACCCAGTTTGGGGGAGGTTCCAATGTGATAATGCATATAAAATGTTTTGTAAATATTAAAATGCTATAAAAACATTTGTTATAATCAATGTCATTGTTCTTGTTATCCCTACATAGAAAATATGGGGTCCTGCTGAATATGTTACTACTTCTCTCCTACAAGTAGAGAAATGTTTATCTTCTTTATGACCAAGAAAACAAAGTGTAGAAGTAGCCTATTACCTTTAATACAAAATGTAAACCCCCTTGTTTGGCCATTAAATGCCTTGACAACTTAGTTTCAATATACCTTTCCAATCCTATTGTACATTACACCCCTTTACATATTCTACATTCCCTCTTGATGTCTTTCACACATGACTTTCCATCCCCTATCTTCATGTCCTTGTACAAGCTACCCTCCTTACCTCCATGCATAAAATGTTCTCTCACTCCTCTCTCTGCCTTTTAAATTCTCTAGCTTCCTTCAAAACTCAGCTCACTTGTTTCCTCCTATGCAAAATTTTTCCTGATCCCAACTTCAGCTTCTGCTGCCTCTTCTGCAAACGACTCTGCATCTCCAGCATTATATGTTTTGTACACACTTATTCTTGTGTATGTTGGAAGGTTCTTAACAAATGTTTATTGATTGATTGATTGAGTCTAATATCAGAACTTACTAAGTCTTGAACTAAGTTTACCCATTAAGGACCATAAAAATACATCGTTGGGTCACCCTTGATGTGACATACTCTTATAAAGAAATAAAACAACTACTTTGAAATGAAGGCTTAATATTTAAAGACTTTGAATATAATTTTATTTAAGCCTGAATCTCTATATTCAATGTAATTCAAATAAAAAATATTATTAAATGCCTACTATATGAAAAAGTTTGTACTAGTCAATACGCATATGAAGACAAAAATTAAATAGTTCCTTACTGTAAGTTAGTTGTAGTCTACTTAGGGGAATACAGGTCCACAAGTGAGTAAAGACAAAGTATATCATACAAAAAAAAATTCAAAGCAAGAGAGAGAGAAAGAGAGTTTATGCTAATAACATGGGATCAAGAAAGCCCTTATGTTCCTGAGCTAGGTGGCACAACGGACAGAACAACTGGGCCTGGAGTCAGGAAGACCTTAATTCTAATCTAACCTCAAACACTTAACTAGTTGTTTGGCCCTTTTTAAGTCACTTAAACTCTGTCTCAGTTTTCTAACTTTAAAATGGGGATGATAACAACACAGAACCTCAGCAGAATTTTTGTGAGTCTCAATGACATAATATCTATAAAATTCTTAGCACAGTGCCTGGCACATAGTAGGCACTATATAAATACTTATTCCTTTCCACCTTCCCTAAGGGTTCTGTGAAGTAGAGATGAGTAGGTAGTACATTCCAGGCTTATATGACAGCCTGTGGAATAGTATGAAGGCAGAATATAGAACGTCATATATGGCAATAGGCTAGCAGGCCTATTTAATGTGAATGGAGAAGATACAAATTAGATTTAAAAAAAAATTAAGAATAAAAGTGTACAAAATTATACATGGATTTACATGCTAGGCTGAGGATTTTGTGTTTTATTTGGAAGTGATAGGGAGTGATTTTTGAATGTAGGGGTAACCATAGTCATAGATATATTTTAGAAATATCATTTTGGCAGCTATGTGGATACTGGATTAAAAAGAGATAATAGAATGATAGATTTAAAGCTAGAAACAACTTTAGAGGTCAACTAGTCTAATTTTTATTTTGTAGATGAGGAAATTGATAGCCAGAGAAGTTAGATGATTTGACCAGAATCACATAGGAAGCAAGTGATAGAGCTGAGATTTGAGCCCAGGGCCTTCAAGTCAAAATCCAAGGGAGAGGATGGAAGCAAAGAGACAATTAGGAGGCCATTAGCACAGGCCAAGAGCACAGGCAAGGCAAGCCTGAAGTAGGGTAGATACTGTGTAAATAGATAGGCAGGAATAGAAGCGTAAGATACAGAGGTAGGAAATCTTGGCAACTAATTAGATATGAAAGTTGAGGGAGTCAAGAGTCAAGGATGACTCCAAGGAAAAGAAATGGAGAACATATACATGCAGATATACAAATGTATACACATGCATTTAATTACACATCTCCAGGTTTTATTTGTCAAAAAAAAAAAGGTCCATTGTATTAGGACAAGCCGTAGGAAATCTTCCTGACAGTTACAAGTATCAGGGAAGGCCTCATGCTACATAATGAATCACTGTTGTTGAATGAAATAGGACAAAACAGCTATTATTTTCAAGATGAAGGTGAGGCTATCCTGGTTCTTTGGGTGATTGTAAATAAATCTTTTGCAATGTCCTGGAACCAGATCAGCCAACAAGATAAAGAACAGTTGTGAAGCCTCTGAGTTGCTGACCAAAGCCTAACTTTGGGGGTGTTTGGCAGCAAGTGGGGAGGGGCAAGGAGGGAAAGTGTTTCCTCAAATGTTTCCTTCCTTGCACCTTCTTCATTAAAAAGTCTTGTGGCCTAACATGTGCAGGGTAGGGTTGGGGGTAATTTTTTTTTTTTTTGCTCATGAATGGAAAAGAAGTGTTGTCCTCTTTCCTGGGAAAAGTCCTGCAAAGTTTTCCTGATTTCTTTTGACAGCATTCAGCAGTTCAGTCTAGTGCCAACCTGCCGAAGCAGTTTGATCCTCGTTCTAACAGGAAAGGATAGTGTGCCAAATGTTACTAAGCCTCAGGGACAGGAGAATGGTGCAATCAGTGTTGAAACAATCCATATTTGATGAATGGGCAAGGTATGTATTTTATGTCTCTCAATACATGCATATGGGTACATTTGGTTTATAGGGTGACCTTTGACAGTGGCAGTATTGCTGCAGAATTTATATAGAATGATTCAAGCCCTTCCATCATCCCCATTAGTAGATCCAAATCTCTAGAATGAGGGTTCTTAACTATCTTTTGTTTCATGGACACCTTTGGCAATTTGGTGAAGCCTATAGACCCCCCATCTCAGAATTATGATTTTAAGTGCATAAAATAAAAGCAAAGCATCATAATTTTATTAAAATAGAGTTACCAAATATAAAAAAAAAGAAGACAGACTCACAGACTCCCTGAAATCTAATTGATGGGACCTTTAGAAGTGAAAAGGAGGGCAAGAATCAAATTGTCTGCCCTGACATCTGGACCTCAAGGTCTAGTCTGGGTTCAGAGGAGGCCACCTTGTAAAAGCTAAAGGGAAGCAGTTGTTCTGGACTTCACAAAGTCTAGATGCATGCAAGTATGGCAATCAAAAGGTCTCTGACAATGGGTTTTAGATATCTCCTAGGGCATTTGCAAACCATCTGAACCTGCCTAAGAGCCACTGGACTAAAAGAGGAAGGATGAAACCAAAATGAATAGCCGAACCACTGAGAGGGCTCATAACCAGTGCTTTCAATCCCTATTTGTGTGCACTTGAGTCTATGGCAGACCACTTGGGAAAGTTCCAAACCAAAGTTCCCTGGGTTTGTGCCTACTCAGGATTCATGTCTCCTGAATTAGGGAAAAAAGAGACCTATGGGCCCAGGGTAAGAGAGTCCTGTTGTGTAGCTGATTAGCTGTTTGCCAAGTGATTTTCGTTCGGATTTTAGATTGAGGGTATCTAAATACATGCATGTTAGAATGTGTAAAATCATTTGGGGGATTTTTTTTTACCTGAATATAGGTACACACAACCTTTTATGGTAAAAGCATGACTTTTTTTTTATGGTAAAAGCATGACTTTTTTTTTTCTGCTTAGCCCCAGAATGCAAAACCAGTAGCAATGCATAGAAATTGCAGGGATAAATTTAGGATTGATGTCAGGAAAAACTTTCTGATAATTGGAGCTATCCAAAAGTAAAATGTGGGCAGCTAGGTGCCACAGTGTATAGAAGGCTGGCCTGGAATCAGAAAGACTCATCTTCATAAGTTCAAATCTGGCCTCAGACACTTATTACCTGCATGACCCTGGGCAAGTCATTTCATCCTCTTTGCCTCAGTTCCTCATATGTAAAATGGGCTGGAGAAGGAAATGGCAAACCACTCCAGGATCTCTGCCAAGAAAACCCCAATGGGGTCAAGAAAAGTCAGACACCGCTGAATAATGACTTAAAAACAAAAGTAGAGGAAGCTTCCTTAGAAGGCAGTCAGCCTTAGCACTTCAATCTATGTCAAAAATGAGAGAGGTAAAGCCTTCAAACAAGTATTGTTTGCATATATTATGAGGAGAATCTTCAGATATTAAAGGAACCATATAATTACTGAAGTCCTTCCAATACTGAGGTTCTGTGATTCTATAACTCTGAATTCTACGTATTTAATTTAGTCCCAAATAATGACAATTGTCCTTTACCATCTAAGTAAGTGAGTCAAGCCCAGGAGAATTGAGAGTCATAATGATATCTGGATCTTTTTTCTATAGGGGTGTCCCAAAGTCTTACTGCAAATTTAATATTTAATAGCTATTAAAATTCAATTATTTAATAGCTATTAAAGCTGAAAATTTGATGAAGATTTTTTGGAAAATTATGTTTGCATTCAAAAATGTAGGCATTATTCATTATTCAAAGACCTGAAGCAACTTTCTCTGACAAAGATCTGAAGTCCAAGATTCATAGGGAAGTGATTCAAATACATAAGAACAAAGGACATTGCCCAATAGATAAATAGTCAAATAATACAGGGTCTAGATAGGGTCAAGGGTGGGAAGTAGCCTGGAGCCATAGGGAGGTAAGACAATGGAGGGCTAGGCTAGGTTAAGGGTAACAGAATTGGGAGATTGGGTGTAGGCCATAACAAAAGGCCAGTTGATGGGACCATAGCCTCAAGGAAATGCCAGAAAGCTCCTTGATCAAGGGGAGGAATTCAAGAAGAATCGTTTAGACAAATGAGACCCAAATTCTTTTTGGGGTAAAGGGCAAAGGTCTTGACTTGGGCCATTCCATTATGACAAATAACAACAGTCAAACAAAACAATTCCACAGAGTGGCCATCTTGGCTGCATAACTATGCCAAGATATCATTACCATACATTATCCTAGGTTCTCTGAAGTCGTGGTTGTTCATTGCATAGATCAGAAACTCTTTCAAAGTTTTCTTTGAGGACAGCTAGGTGGTATAGTGGATAGAGCACTGACCCTGGAGTCAAGAGGACTTGAGTTCAAATTTGACCTCAGACTCTTGACACTTACTAGCTGTGTGACCCTGGGCAAGTCACTTAACTCTATTGCCTAGCCCAAAAGAAAAAAAGTTTTTCTTTGCTATATTCTTATTGCATAATTTTTTCTTTAGATTCTGATCACTGCACTGTGTATCATTTCATACAAATATTTTCGGGATTATCTGAAATCACCTCTTTTACCATTTCTTATAGTACAATAGCATTCCATTATATACTATAATTTGTTTAGCCATTCTTCAAAAGATAAACAATTCTCTAATTTCCAAATTTTTGCTACAGCAAAAAATGTTGCTATGAATATTTTCTGTATGTATGAGTCCATTTCCATTTTTAAAATCTTTTTGAGATATAAGCCTAGTAGTGGTATCACTAGGTCAACATTGAAGTTCAGTTATTTTTTTCTTTTTGGGGGGTGCATTGTTTCAAATTGCTTTTCAGAATGACTAAACTAAGTCATTGAATCACCAACAGTACATTGGAATACCTATTCTTCCCTACCTCAAACAATTCAAATTTTTTTTTTTGGTCATCTCTATCAATGTGATAGGAGTGAGATGAAACTCATAGTTATTTTAATTTGCATTCCTGGAGAATTTTTAGTAATTTGGAGAAAGCACCATGGATACTATTGGCTTGATATGTTCTATGGGGTCACAGAGTCAGACACAATTGAACGACTGAACAACATATGACAGACACTGTGCTTAGCACTTTAAAAATATCATCTCATCTGATCCTCACTATAACCCTGGGAGATATGTGATATTATTAGACCCTTTTAACAGTTGAGGAAATTAAAGTAGATAGATATACTGTTACATGCAGAAGGTCTCAGAGCTAGAAATTTGAAGCTGAATTTGAACCCAGGTCTTCCTGCATCCAGTTCCAGAGCTCTATCTAATGAGGTAGGGGCTTTGGAACCCTCCCCCTTTGAACTTTCCCATGAATTCTAGGAACTCAGCCTCTGAAACTGGGATCTCAGGTGTTCACCTGAGGCACCAGGGAATAATCCTTTTAACTGCCCCTTCTTTGTGGCCCTCATTGTCTGCACCTGGCCCCACCCTAGACCCCCTCTCCTTGATTCCTCTTAGACCCACTCCTTGACCATTGTATGTAAGTGTCCATCTTGTCCCCTTTAGATTGCTCAAACTCCTTAAGAGTCTGGTCGGGTTGTATTCTCATTACAAAGGCTCAGATTCTTAAAATCTGGCCAATAGGGTGGATCCTTAAAATCTTGCCCACCTCAGTCTGTGTTTTAATAAACCTTGACTCTGGCTAAAAGAAGGCCTGAATTGAATTCATTTGAGGCAGGACCCAAGTCTTCTGCCCTTGAATTTTGTTCCTAGCACCCCTAGACCACAACATATCCACAGTCACCTAGCTGTTTAAATGCTCACAGAATCAAGTTGAATGTAATAAACAATTAATTATTAAACACCTACTGTGTGCCACACACACAGTATTGTTGGCTAGGGTTATAAAAACAAAAAAGCCCTTCTCAAAGAAGTCACATTATATAACATGTATGTTTAAGTACATTCATGTATAGAAGATAAGGAACAGACTTGTAATTTATATGAACTCTTGATAAAGAAACTCCTTTTACCAATGCGATTGAGACTTCTCTCTGCCTTTTGGTCTAAGAGACCAAAAGCAGTAAGTGTTGAAGGCTGTATCTGAACTCAGGTCTTCCTGACTCCCAGGCCTGTGGGATGCTATCCACTGCACCATTTACCTGTCCCAATACAAAATTTAAGAAAAATAAATGCAAAGGCATTTCAGAGGAAGGGAAGAGCTCTAAAAACTGGGGAATTGGGAATAGCCTTATGTAGGAGATGGCACCAAGACTGTGTGTTTAAAGGAAGCTAGGGATTTGGAACAAATACCCATCTCAGATGTTATGCTTCACATGTTAGATTTCCTCCAGTCAATGACTAGAACTCCAAACCTTCCTTTAAAATGTCTTTAGGGTATTGTTTGATTTCAGAGTCTTTTCCTCCTTTCTAAATGAGTTTCACAACTCAAATGGCTTTCTTTTTAAGTACTAATATTTTTACTTCTAGCAGCTTTTAAAATGATCCTAATGGCAATAAATAGCCACCTAATCTCTTTGCTCAGAAAAGCTTTTCCAGGAGGGATGTGAACCACAAAAAGTTGGAAAAAAGAAGGCAAAATTAGTTTGGGACATTCTTTTTTTCTTTCTACAACCATCTCTTCTCACCCAGGGGATTGCTCATAGTCAAGGATCATCTGCTGTAGTAAGTGTTAATGCTAAAAACAGAAAGTTTAAAAACTCCTTCATTGCTCTCAATAAATGCTACTAATGTGTTGAGTATTCATGCTCAGTATAGTCAGCTCAGCTCTAGGTCATATTCACAGAAGGTGGTAGAAATATTTGAATTAATAGGATATACTGGCTATGGTGGTATATGCCTATAGTCCCTGCCGCTAAAAAGGTTGAGAATGGTGGATAGCTTAAGTTTCGGAGTGTAAATCTACCATTTTGCAGATAAAGAAAGTAAGCCTCCCTCCCCCCACAAAAAAAAAAGTTACCTGACTTGCCTAAGGTCTCACAGTAGTAACTGAGTGAACCAAAATCCTCTGGCTCTCAAATGAAGGTTCTTTTCATAGTATGATACTACCTCTCATCCACAGATCCTAGTGATTTCTTAATATGTATGACAATCACACTATGCCACACTGCCTCCTAAAACAGGCATTATTATCCCCATTTAACAGTAAGGAGATTGAGGTATAGAAAAGTTAAGGGATTTGCTCATGGTTATACAATGCATTAATAAGTGCATTAATAAGCCCCAGAGGAAGAAAGGAAATCAGCTTTTATTAAGAACTTACTATGTACCAGGCACTATGCTAATTTCTAGGGATACATACATCCACATATATATGTACACACATAATACATGTATATATACACGTACATATATTTACATATTGCACGTGCGCGCACGCACACCCACACACACACACAGAAATACAGATAGTCCCTGCCCTCAAGTAGCTTACGTTCCAAATGAGAAAGATAGCACACAAAAGGGCAAGCAACGAAAAGGGGGTGGAAGAGATTCAAGGTTCCTAGAACAAGTTTTAAAATCTGGAAACCAAGAAAAGGGTGAGGAGGGAAATGAAGACAACTCTGGTCTCTTCCACAAAATATAAGCCCCAGGGAGAGAAGATGATGGGCCCTTTGTAGGGGGATATTCTAGATTAAAGAAGCCACAGGGGTGATTGAACATTACAGAGTAAGGAGGCCCAAGATGAGAAAGTAGCACAGACAGCTATTTGATGTTGGAAGTCAGGATTTCCCACATTAGAGGCAGGATTTGAACTCTGAAAGTCTTTCTGACTTTAAGTCCAGTACTCTACCTACAACACCAAAGTGCTCCTGTATCAATTTATACTATGAGAGTATATTCTCAAGACATTGTAGAGTCCATCAGAAATTAATTGACTCAGATGGAGGCAGCTCGGACAACCCAATATCATCAAACAATGAAATTGGGCCATGTGGAGACTCCACCTGTGCATGGGACTGTACCACCGAATCACCATAAACCAGTTGGCAACAACACAATAGTACTATAATTGTTAATGAAACCATGCAGCTTAAGGTGCAGGGGACTCCACAACAAGTGAGTTGGGTTTTTGTTGTTCTTGTTGTTGTTTTTTAATGGATTAGTACATTTTCCTAGCCAAAGGGTTCTATATGGTCTACCATAGCTCCTCTTGGCTAGTTGCCTACCTAGATAACCTTGAAATCCTGCCAGCTGTAGTAGTAGTAATGACTATGGATGAACCACAGTTAAGGTCAATTAATCAATAAACACTTACTATGTGCCAGTCACTGTGCTAAGTACTTTTGTAGTTTTTTGTTGTATCTGACTCTTTGTGACTCTATTTGGGGTTTTCTTGGCAAAGATACAAGAGTGGTTTGTCATTTCCTTCTCCAGCTTATTTTAAAGATGAGGAAATTAGGCAACAGGGTTAAGTGGCTTGCCTAGGATCACACAACTAGTAACTCTCTGAGCCTGGATTCAAACTCAGGTCTTCCTGACTCCAGGCCGGGTGCTTTATCCACTGTACCACCTAGCTGCTCTGTGCTAAGCACTAGGGATACAAAAAAAATAAAAAACAGTCCCTCTCCTCAAGGAGCTTACATTTTAATGAGATGAGTAGAACATAAAAAATTGAATAAATAGAAGATGGTAATTAAGTTTTATGTTAATTTTTTTTAAAAGAGTAGATAGAAGGTAATTTTAAAGGAAAAGACTGAAGTGACTGGGAAATGGGGAGGATATGAAGTAGGAAGTCTCATAGCATTTATAGCAATATAGGCCTTTATACATTATCTAGTCAAAAATCATAGATCTAGGGCTGGGGCTGGGAGTGGGGTGGTCTTCAAAGGCCATATAGCCCAAACCTCTCATTTTACAAATCAGGAATCTAAGGTCCACAGAAGACATATGATGTGCCCAAGGTTGCACACTGACCTAAAAGATGAATATTTTTACCTGTAAGGGACCCAAGAGTCAGAAAAAGGAAATAATTTGCTCAAGGTTTTAAATTTATCCTGATGATCACCTAACACAATCTCCTCATTTTGCAAGAGGAACTGAGGCCCAGAGCCATCATTTACAAGATAAGACTTCTGCCAACTCATGAAGCAAGAATGAAGTTAATGAAATTCTAACTATTGAAGTTACCCAGTTCCCATTATTTCCATCATTCTGGAAAGAAGTGGTTGGTTCACCATGGTTCTAAATGCTGTACCTCAGACATTGCTTGGGACTTGAGATTAATCATACTAAGGATCATATGATTGTGGTTTTAGAGATGGAAGAAACTTTGGAGGCCATCTGGTCTAATTCTTTTATTTTATAAAAGACAAAATTAAGGCTCAGAGAGGTTAACTGATTTTCCCAGCTTCACACAGTATCAGAAGAAAAAGAAAAACAAGAAGAAATTATTATTGCTAGCATTTATGTAGTTCTTTGGGGTTCACAAAACACTTTCCATATGTTATTTCATTTGATCTTCATAAATAACTTGAGAGGTCAGTACTATTACTATCCCCATTTTGTAAATGAGAAAACTGAGACTAAGAGAGATTAATTAACTAGCCCAGAGCAACATATGTAATAAGTGTCCAAGGAAGGATTTGAACTCTGATTTTCCTGATTTCTAGTCAATTGAAACTGACTTTCAGTTCAAGAATTCCTATTCAGTGTGGTTCTTAATGACTGAACGTGTTGGGAGTACTTCCAACATGCTAAAGTTAGAAAGGCATAGACCAGATAAGAGATCTTGTGAAAACACACATTTCTATGCCCTCAAACTGATAGAGGCATTCTCTATTCATTATTTACATGAATCCAGGCTTCAGGGCCAAAGAGTCATTCTAGAAGGAGGCATGGAGTCTGCCAATGGCTATGATACAGTTACTTCCCCATTTGAAAAATGAAGGAGGATATCTTTGGAAGCACAACTGCAAGTCATTAAGCAAAATAAGGGGGTGGGCAGCTAGGTTGAACAACAGCTAGAGTGCCAGGCCTGAAGTCAGGAAGACTCATCTTCCTAAGTTCAAATCTGGCCTCAGACACTTACTGGCTATTTGACCCTGGGCACATCACTTAACCCTGTTTGTCTTAGTTTCTTCATCAGTAAAATAGCTGGAGAAGAAAATGGCAAACTACTCCAGTATCTTTGCCAAGAAAACTCCAAATGGGGTCATTCAGAGTTAGACATGACTAAAACAACTGAACAAACAAAAATACAAACTTTTCACACTTTCTCTTGAAAGCCAATAAATGTTCCAGGAAATTAAATGAAGCAAATTGACTCAGGCCAGTTGATGCTACTCCAGAACCTTGGCATTGATTTTCTCTATCTCCTGGACTTATTATTTTGCCCTTGACCTTGAATTCTTCTCTGCATTGTAGGCACAGTCTGCTTATCTAACATTTTGAACAGTTGTTTGGAGGGTCAAACATTCCCTTGACTCTGATTCCTAGGCTTTGTTTTTCTAACAGTGTCCTAAATTTAACATGACATATGAGTCAAGCTTCTTGCTCTACTTCCCTGGACCCTCATAGGGTCTAGAAATCAAAGAGAATTTAGAGTCAAATACTAGATGAGAACATTGAAGCCCAGTGAGTTTTTGTAATTTTCCCATTATCTAACAGATAGCAAAATCAGGATTTGAATCTGGGCCCTCTGGATACAAATCCTGTGCTCTTTTCTCCATACTACATTGTCTCATCAAATCTTATTTTGTTTTTTTCCTAAAGAAAGATCTTAAAAGCAGAGAAGCCTCAGTCTGGGCTACACTGGGAAGGACTGAGGGTCAATTCCACTGATGCATATCCAAGGCTCAGCCTCTTAGCTTGTTGCTTCAAAGAGCCAACTGTCATGCTGGGAGGTAAGCAGCTACTGCAAGTCACAGGCAAAACCTTCTGAACCACAACAGGTGAGACAAGATTATTAAATGACTATCGGAGTACCCTTTAATATTCTTTTGGAATATTGAGTATACAATGATATGTTCAGGATAGGTACTTAATAAATGTTGGATTTGATTGGATAAGACTGTGAAGTGAATGGTCAAGATGTTTTTGCATTTATTGCTATAAAATAACTTGGATCTTTCAGGATTTAAACAAGAAACATTTTTGCTGTAGTAAAAAACAATTATTCTCCTATTTAGGTCTCTATGTGTTCACTTTATTTCTGGTATAAATATTTGCCTTTGGCACATCACATGCCCAATAATAGCGTAGCTATAATTAGTGATTACTATACACAGAAAGCTTGCTGAGGTCTTATCCAAGCCATAGAAAGTGGCAGTCTTTCCCTCAAGTAGCTCCCACTTGAAGTAACAAGGCAGTCTTTGCCAGATTCTTCCAATTGCTTTTTAAAAGCTTGTTCCTTTTCCTGCTTTGGTGTATTTGTTTTTTCATCTTCTTTGTAGAGAATTAGAAGAGTAATAAAGAATGAGTTTAAGTTCAGGGAAGGTTAGGAATGGAGGTTGATGAATGTTCCTTAATATATCAGCAAACATGGGAGGGCCAGGCAGTCTGTCAATTCCCAAATATTTGTTAACTATCCACAACATTAATCACAGGATTTTGGGCAAAATGTTTACAAAGGGCATCCATATCTATCATGCTTTAAGTCTCAATTCAAGGATCTCCTCCTCCATGAAGCTTAACTTCCTTCTCATTCTTTTCTGCCTCTTGACCTCCCCTATAATTTTTGTATCACATCAGTTTTACACTTGTTTCTATCTTGTCTTTAAGTCTTGAACTACTTTCTATTTGTTTGAGGTGCACATAATTTCCCCAGACTGCAAGTTCCTTGAGGGTAGGAACCATGTCATAGAAGCGTAGCAGAGTGACTAAAAAAATTAAATGACTAATCATTTTTTAAGCAAGCATGCCAGAATTTATGCCTCTCAGTAGGAACTGTCTCTTTCAAAGTAGTCACCTTCAAAAGTTCTACACTTATTTCCTTGATGTCATTGCTCAGAATATTTTTGAACTTCGTTGTCACATGATATATTATTTTGAATCTCATTAATGGCAGCCAGTCTTCCTCCTTTGAAGTAGGATTTGTCTCTTTGGAATACCCAAAGTTATTTTGGGTCAATACTGGTTTAAAAAAAAAAAGTCAAGCTGGATTTAGGTGGCTTATTCTGAATAAAATCTTAAAAAGGAATTTTCAGAAATTTGAGTGAAGTCCAGACCAGTGGAACAATGGAATAAATGCAAAAATGCTCATATGCCTGTTTCTTGAAAATCTTGTCAATTTTATAGTTATATCTCATACTGGGCAAGTAAGTGACTGTAATAGAAGGCCTTTAATCATGACCCTTCCATGTTGACCAAAACATAGGGACATATGTCAGCATCCATTCCTGCCCTCCTTGAACCAAAATTCATTCTTCATTACTGCATACACAAATTAATTAATTATCTTCCTTCCTTCTCTCCACCCAACCCTTATCTTAAAAAAAAAAGGAAAAAAAACAGAGGGGTGCTGGAACAAGTAAAAATCAACTGCTAAATTTTCAGTATGAGTACTTACATCTCAGAAATCAGCAAATGCTACAAATAAGATTTTGTTTTTTGTTTCGTTGTCTAGATTTAAGAAAGTAATAAAGAAAATTTAAATAACTCAGATTAAACTTTTAAAAAAATAGTGTGACATATACATTTTGGGGAGGCCAATTGTTAAACATTTACCAGCATACTCATGAACAAAATCCTTGTAACAAATATGTATAATCATGCAAAATAAATTCTCACATTGGTCCTATCCAAAAATGTATTTCTTGTTCTACACCTTGAGACCATTTCTTTCTCTCTCTAGAGATTTCCTAATGTTTTTTTTTTCCCTAATGTTTCCTAATCAGTCTTCCGAAATCATAATTGGTCATTCCACTGATCAGAGTTCTTAAGTCTTTCAAAGTTGTTTATCTTTGCAATATTGTTATTCTTCTCCTGGATGATCTCACTGCACTCTGCACCAGTTTATGTAAGACTTCCCAGGATTCTGTAAAACTATCCCTTCTATCACTTCTTGCAAAACATTAATATACCATAATTTGCTGAGCCAATTCCCGATTGATGAGTATTCCCCTGGTTTCCACTTCTTTGCCACCAGAAAATGAATTACTATTAATATTGCTGAATACATGGATCCTTTTCACCCTTGTGATGTCCTTGTGATATAGCTGGGTCAAAGGGTATGCACCCTCTGATCACTTTTCAAGAATAGTTCCAAGTTGCTTCCCAGAATGTCTGGATCAGTTCATAACTGCATCACTAGAGTGTGAAGTAGAACCTCAAAATTGCTTTAATGTGCTGATTTTTTCTGATTGTTTTTCTGATTATTAATTCAATTCAACAGGCAATTAGAAAGAGACTACCACGCACTAGACAAAAAGCAAACATAACCTGACCCAAAGGAGTTTACATTTTATTGGCCATGGAGAGAGGCATAACTCAATGCACCTTATGGTTATATAGGAAGGGGGAGGAATAAAAAGTAAACAGCAAAAATCCTCAACAGTTAGTCTTGAATGGTCAAAAGAAGGCAAGGAAGGCCTCCAGAATATGGGACAGAGTCCCCATGGTGGTCTTTTGGGAAGATACAGACAAGAGTTACACAGGATAGACAGGCATTGACAGGTTTCAATTTACATTATTGGAGGGAACATCCAAACTTATGATATCATAGATCCTTTAGAGTGCTGGGTATATGGTGATATGTCCAGGGTAGGTATTTAATAAATGGTTGTTGGTTTTTATTGGACAAGACTGTGAAATGAATGGTCAAGATGTTTCCACATTTATTGCTATTAAATAACTTGGATCTGTCAGAATTTGACTTGTCAATTCCTGCCTTTGACACATACTAACTCTGTGGCCACAAGCAAGTAATTTAACTCCTCAGGGAACCCAAACATCTCTCTAAGACTACAGATTGCAGAAGCTTTGCGGATCAGCCTTAGGTGAGGGAAGTTCCACGCCATAAGTTCTTTGTATCAATGAAATCAATATCCACACCCCAAAAAAAACCACATCCTACTTCTTCATGGCCTGTAGATTCTGACATAGCAATAGATATGTAATTGCTATTCACTAAATATGTAGTGTGTGAATAAAGAAGAATCTCATCTAAAGTCAATGGCCAACTAGGTGGTACAGTAGACAGAGTGCTGGATTTGGAGTCTAGAAAACCTGTGTTCAAATTCTGCCTCATGCACTTAGTAGTTGTGTGACTCTAGGCAAGTTATTTAAATTCTAACTGCCTCAGTTTCCTTATCTCATAAAATAGAGATAATAATAGCACCAACCTCCTATGGTTGTTATTAGGACCAAAAGAGATAACATATTAAAGCACTTTACAAACTCTGAAAAAAATCGAATTAATGCATTTAACTTTCCAATAATAAACAACTTTGAGGGTCTAAAAAAGTCAAGAAACATTCTTCCTCCATATTAGCAACTGCACCTCAGCACTGGAGTTCTGACATAATATATCAAAGCTTTGTGTCCTATATTTTGAATAGCAGACCTGGTTATCATATGAGGGTGTAGACAGGAAAGGATGTCAGAAAGGATCAAGTTAAGCAAAGGAAAAAGAGCCCATTTCTGACAGAATACATCCTGACCAACAGCTTTGATGAATATTTTTTTCATCTATCCGGGTGCTCTGGACCCATGTCATTGCTTCCTATTTGAGTGAAAAGTGACTGCCTATGTTGTAACCCTTTATATTGTCTTCTTAATACTTCTAGGAGCTCTCTCACATTGAAGGGAGACCATAGGAAGGGCGGTCTTGACATGGCAATGGACAGGGCAGCTGCTGCTTTCCAAATGGGGGATGGGGAGCCAAGGATAGGCGCAGCCCCAAATTCACTTCTGATGAACCCTAGGATATCTTGTAAAGAATAGTTGTCAGCAGGAAGTCTCCCCTGGATTTCCAATGGTCAGGGCAGCTGCCATTGCTTCCCACCACCTGGAAGTGGGTGGCCTTGATCCTAAGACCCATTAGTGTTGCAAACATGTATTGTGTGGAGTTGATCATCCTGTTTAACTTGGCATCGCCCTCCACCACTCAAACATTTTGTGAATGAGATTACTGCCAAATCTGTATGTTTCTGATTCAGTTACACTTAACCCATTATCTCTAAGTGCTTTCACAATACTTGTACTGACAACACACTCCTGCTCTAAATCTTTTTGAAGTAAGACTATCTGTTTAAGTTTTCTTCCAACCTCCCCCTTTTTTTTATTCTAGACTTTTAAAAGCCTTCTGAATCTTTCCAAAAAGCTTTCAGGCACTGCAGTGGCATTTGCAGTGAAAAACCAGCAAGGCCTTACTTGGGAAGGAGCACAAAGAAAGCCAGTGAACAATCGTAGCCATGCAATTTACCGTCTGCTTATCCACATGTCAGTTAGGAAATGTGCAAAACTTCCTTCAACTCCTAACAGAGTGTGCCTGCCTGAAACTCATGAGGCCTGATGCATTTCAGGAATTTAAACAGAAGAGTGGTAGAGGGAACACCTAAAGCAATAATGTAACCATGCCTGAAAAGATTATTCCCTTAACAACTGCCCATACACACTCCTTCCCTCCTCTCTAGCCACTAAAAATAGAATATAGGAAATGGGCTGTGTCTACACAATGATAAATATCAGGGTTAAATTTTATCTTGCTTAATCTTTTGGTGTCACATAGACCTAAGCATTTTTTTTCTAATCTTCAGCAGGACTGACATAGCAGTATTTTCCTGGCAAACATATCTTTAGCCTACAATGGCTTTTTACTAACCTGATATTCAAATGGCATATGATGTCATCAAGAACCCTCATGTCAGGAAAAGAAGGAGGATAGGCATGCAGCGAGAACAAGGGATGTTCACTGGTAGCCTTGAAAAATGAAAAGGTTCAGG